TACCAGCACGCATGCTCCCAGCATCGCGTTACTTCCGCTGTCGTAACACTACACAAGGGCTATTTGCATTACCTATCCCTAATTTTTAAAGTGATGGACAAGAGCAGTAACAAGATGCAAATTGTAGAATCTGAGATCCACAGTCTGCCTTGCTAACCATGCTCAGCCCTTCCATAACAACAGCTATACCACCTTTTAATTCTTCACTCTGAATAAGATTCAGTGAGGTGTTAACCAAAATATCTACATTTCCCTATAGGTTACATTTATTGATTATGCTAAAAATATATTTCATTATAATGTTAAAGCAAACAGTGAGAATTAGTGCCTTTAGTTGTGACAATTATGTAAAATGAATTTTCAGTTTTATTGAAAATCCATATTATCCTAAAATCTTGACTTCAACAGAAACTCAGTATGAGCCCACTATACCTCTCTGTCTGGCCTAAGGGTTTCGATATACTCTCTGTTGTCAATAAATTCATCTCCATTTCGATCAAAAATGTCAGCAACACGTTCCATCTCCATGCGACTTGTTGAGAATTCTGTTAAAAGTAAATAAAGCAAAAAAAAAATCAAAACTTTGATTTTCTTGATTGTTTTATAAAAATTGTACATTGAAAATTTTAAATCTTTTCCTGCCACCGGTACATATATTTCCCCTTTAGAGCCCTGCCATGTGAGTTTGGAATTTTGTACTACCATGAAAATAATGGTATTCCTCCTTCAAACTCCCCAAAGATTACCAGTTGCACATTACATACAAGTAATGAAATATTAAAACATGTATTTTTACATATCTAGAAACAAACTTGACACTGAGAGAGTTGTTCATCTATAAATATGGCAGTTAAAGAACAAAAAGTTAGTTTTAATGATTTGCAGTAAATGTCTGAGGTATACCACCGAGTTAATCTCTTATGAATGATTAACGAACATTTTGTAAAAACAAGAACATACTTGATTTCAAGATGCCGTTGATAAATTCTGCTTTTGTGACTCTTCCATCATTATTCTTGTCAATTTTTTTGAATACGTCCATGATTCGAGACCTTTTGTTGTTCAACCATCCAAGGAACTGAAACATCAGAAGTTAGGTTTAATCACAAAAAATAGTTAAAATATTCTTACATATAAAGAACAATTGACAATATTATAAAACTGATGGACACTTTATAAGATTACCGTTGACCTTTAATATGGTTTGACTTTAACTTTAATTAAATATTCTAAACATCATAAAATACAGCTTCATAAAACTTAAAACTCACTTACTCTTCGTCTCCATTCATCAAAGTTGAAGTTTTTAATCCTCTCAAGCTGCATAAACGAGAAAAGTAATTTCAGTTCTGTTACAATTAAGTTGTATAAACAGGTAAATATAAAGTTTAAAGCTGAAAGAACGGGTATAATCCAATGATTATTATGTTAGTTGCTATCTAGACACCTTAGATAAAAGTATATCTCTTAATATGTAGACCAAACAAGAGAAGAAAATAAAGTAAGCATTTTAAAATAAAATTAAATCAAGATTCAAATCATCTATGTTTCACTTGCATGACTAAAGAACTAAACATTTAAAAATAAATTAAAATAACATATTACTGCAATTTCATATTCCATCTTACCTCTATTAGATAATTGAGCTTATCTTGTAATCGGCGTTGACGTTCCATTGCTAGTAACCAGACATTTCTCCACTTGTCTAACAGATCCCGTACCCGGGGATTTTTTATTTCTGGCTCAGAATAAGTTTTACTATAACAAAAAAATTGTATTGGTAAGTTTTTATTTATCATAGCAATTGTAGCATTTTTTTTTTCAATCAAAATACAAATTGACAGATTTATTTTGAAATAATGTAAATGATGTATTCAATCAATCAATAGCGAGTATTGGAAATTCCAAAAACATACAAAGTTGTTGATGTTTTTGGAGCAGCTGCCCCAATCCCACGACTTGGTCTTCGATTATCGTGTTTCCCAGTTTTAACACGATGTGATGGACGGTGATATTGTTTAGATGGTTGTCTCTTGCTAGAGAAAGCTTTTGTGACCCTGTCAATTTCTGGCTGACGTTTAGTCAGATCTGCCATGAAATCCTGCAAAAACAAGTGATTGTAATAGGTAATAACATTTTAAATATCCTGCAACAACAAATTTTATGTATGGATGTAACTAATACTTAGAGCAGGAAGAAGTTACAAGAAAGTAAAGGGGGAATGTAGTGGGAGCAATGCCTCACAGTATGTAAATAATTGTTGTTGGTTTCTAGTTACATTACTAACCAACATGTCTGGTAGTCTCTACATACATTACTAACCAACACGTGTAATGTCTGGTGGTCTCTGGTTACATTACTAACCAACACTTGTAATGTCTGGTGGTCTCAACATACATTACTAACCAACATGTGTAATGTCTGGTGGTCTCTACATACATTACTAACCAACACGTGTAATGTCTGGTGGTCTCTACATACATTACTAACCAACACGTGTAATGTCTGGTGGTCTCTACATACATTACTAACCAACATGTGTAATGTCTGGTGGTTTCTACATACATTACTAACCAACATGTTTAATGTCTGGTGGTCTCTACATACATGTGTTGGTTAGTAATGTATGTAGAGACCACCACACATTACACGTGTTGGTTAGTAATAATGTAAGTAAAGACCACCAAATATTACATTTGTTGGTTAATAATGTATGTAGAAACCACCAGACATTACACTAACCAACACATGCAATCTCTGGTGGTCTTTACCTACATTATTAACCAATATGTACAATGCCTGGTGGTCTTGACCTCCATTACTAAAGAAAAGGTGTAATATCTTGTACCTACACTAATACTCAATTAGAATATTACCTGATGATCAGTGATTAACTGTTTCAAGAGTGGCACTTCATCAGGCAAGGGCTCAGCTTCTAGAATGGTCAGAGTAGCTTCAGCTTCAAGCAACCATTTCATTAGTTCCTCTAGCAGTTCTGTAATGTCTCGCAGTGATTGTAAGTGGTCTCTCAGTTTCTGCTCTCGTTGCCTTGCCCACACAGATATCTGGATGGCACACAGTTGAAGTGTTATTTTGTGTACTTAACTATTAAATGTATAATCATTGTAAAACTTGGAAATTGCAACAAAACATTACAAAACTTCATGTAAAATCAGAATTTAAACAAAAACCTTTCATCCTTCAAACTATTCATGATACTACTTAAGTCCTTAACAATAACATATTTTATTGAACACTATGCACTACAGTTAACAATAGAGCCTTACTTGGTCCTCATGAGAACAAAAAAAGAGCAATGTATATGATCAGACAGCCGGTGTCACTGCATGTGTATTTGAAAGATTGACAAAAAGCTCACCTCATCCCAGCGGGACTGGATGATTGTAATCCAATGGCGGATGATAGTAATTCCATCAGGATGACATTGCTGTAGTGTTTCTTGAGCTAGTGCTAAAGTTTTGTCTTTGTTTCCTTCTTGTACTTTGAGCTGCTCTAAGAAATTTTGGTGCTCATTAATCTGTTGACGTGTCGTTTCCTCATCATCTGGCAATGGTCCTGTGAATCGCAATTTCCTTTCTGCATCTGACAACCATTCAAGGAGAATGTGAACCATCTTGTGGAGCTGCTCAGCCTAGTAGAAGAAATCCACTTTATATATTTTAATAATTCAGCATTAGATCTCAACTTTATAGGTTTTTGTCATTATTTTAACTTACCAAGGTAGAATTCAATAACAAAACGTAATACTATTTTATGTTAATTTTCTTAGATAATTGTTAAGATGAAACAGTTATCTTTCATTTGTACATCTTCCAGTATAATGTGTAAAGATGTAGTCATAGCAGATGTCTAATAGCAAAATTTTCTACATAGTTTTGATGATTTGACTGGCTATTTCCCCACAAGGGACTGCTCTAGGCACAGCTCTACCTGTGAAGGATGATCCTCGCTCTTTTAATCTCTTCCTCAACTTGATTTCTTTTGAATCCCCCCTTTCTTTATAACATAAAATCCATACTTGTTGTTTTTCATTTATTCACCTGACATTAGGATCCATGCTGTCCGTCTAGATCAAATGAATACTTTCACGAACATGCCTCATCCTTCTAGTTTCTTTGACTGTTTTGTCTTGGCTTACAGCCATTATTTATTTCTGTTCCTCAATTTTCATTTTTTAAAATGTCTTTAACCTGCATGAGGGGTAGACCCCTTATCACCTATTTTCCTTCCTAGTGTCCAATTTTCATGCTGTCATTTCTTTCTTACCATCCTCCTGTGTTATATCTTCCCACTTCACCTTATGTCTGAGACACTTTATGGTACTCCAAGGGAGGCTTTTATAAAAAGGTTTGTTCTCTTCTTTTCACTACATTGACCCATATTGTTTCTTCTGCTCTATCCATCCTTACTTCTTTCCTCTGCTGTTAGGGCTTGTTGGGACAGGATGCTTTCCTAACTAAGGTACTTCTCCATCGTACTTGTATCTGCGAGTGTAGTCCCAGAGGTTTTCTGTGGAGTTCTCGACTCACTGGAGACCCAGACTGTTGTGGTCTAGTCATCAGTTCTTATTATCTACAGTGGTTTTTCATCTTTGACATTCTGTTCCTTCTTGGGCCTACTAAATCTGTGTCTCAACTTCCTGGTCTTCTTCTACTTTACATTCTCCCACTGTCTATTGTCAGAGTCATCACTTGTCATGTCAATGCCTACCCTGTCAGATATGGCCCAGTGGGGCTCATCCATCTTTCTTCATCAGCCTTTGGTCTTCATTGTTGTTCAACAAATGTGTTATTCAGGTTCTCACCTGTAACCTAACTCTCCACCTCTTTTCTCCTCCTCCCCCTTCCAATTTTTTGTTTCCACTTTTACTAGCTCTATTGACCTTTATATTTGGTATCTTGAGGATGTAGCCTCATGTCTCTTGGCCAAGGATGCCTGGATAGGGTATTTACCCCTGTACCTTGTTATTACTCACGTTTTTTTGTGGTCCCCAGGAAAACTGGGAATTGGTATCTGGTTATTGACCTGTTGTCTCTTAAATGGTTTCTTATCATCCTTGGTTCCATATGGAGGAGTTAATTTCTCTCTGGTGATTCTTTTCACCCGGTCTGAGGTTAACGAGGGTCAATGTTTTGAACACCATTTTACACATTCTGATTGCCCCATCCTCCAGATGCTTTCTTTGTTTTGTCCATAGGGATAGGGCCTTCCAGTTTCATGTTCTTCCTTTTGGCTTTGCATCTGCTCCTTATATCTTCAGTTGAGTCATGGGCATTCACTCATTAATGATAAACCTTCCTACCCCTCATCTTGAAACTATCTAATGGTAAACTTTACATTTTAACTAGTATTGTTACTTATTTAATGATAAACCTTTCTACTCCTCATTTTGAAACTTATCTAGTGGTAAACTTTACGTTTTAACTAGTATTGTTACTTATTTAAGATAAACCTTTCTACCCCTCATCTTGAAACTTATCTAATGGTAAACTTTACATTTTAACTAGTATTGTTACTTATTTAATGATAAACCTTTCTACCCCTCATTTTGGTAAACTTTACGTTTTAACTAGTATTGTTACTTATTTAATGATAAACCTTTCTACCCCTCATTTTGAAACTTATCTAATGGCAAACTTTACATTTTAACTAGTATTGTTACTTATTTAATGATAAACCTTTCTACCCCTCATCTTGAAACTTATCTAACTGTAAACTTTACATTTTAACTAGTATTGTTACTTATTTAATGATAAACCTTTCTACCCCTCATTTTGAAACTTATCTAATGGCAAACTTTACATTTTAACTTTACCTATTTAATGATAAACCTTTCTACCCCTCATCTTGAAACTTATCTAATGGTAAACTTTACATTTTAACTAGTATTGTTACTTATTTAATGATAAACCTTTCTACCCCTCATTTTGAAACTTATCTAACTGTAAACTTTACGTTTTAACTAGTATTGTTACTTATTTAAGATAAACCTTTCTACCTCTCTTCTTGAAACTATCTAATGGTAAACTTTACATTTTAACTAGTATTGTTACTTATTTAAGATAAACCTTTCTACCCCTCATCTTGAAACTTATCTAATGGCAAACTTTTACATTTTAACTAGTATTGTTACTTATTTAATGATAAACCTTTCTACCCCTCATCTTGAAACTTATCTAACTGTAAACTTTACATTTTAACTAGTATTGTTACTTATTTAATGATAAACCTTTCTACCCCTCATCTTGAAACTATCTAATGGTAAACTTTTCCTTTACCTTTTTAAGGGCTCCTTTTAACATTTGCTCTTTATCATCACTTAGTCTAATTAGTTCTTCCCATTTTTCATTCAGCTGATTCACCTGGCTTTGAATGTGTTTTACTTCTTCAGGAGTTGCAGTCTGTAAAAGCTCACTAGCTGTTCTACGAACAGATTTCAAGTTGTTGGCTCTGTTCCGGAGCTCATCTTGGAAGATCTGGAAGAACAGAGTTAATTTCATTGTCGTATGAGTTAAGAGTTAACCAAGTTAATACATGTAAAAAACTGACAAAATGCACACTTTCAAGAATATTCAAACTTTACCAACCTTGTGTTGGTCAACAAGTGATGTAACTGTGTCCAGATCACCATGAATTGGCTGTTCGATGGCTAACATTGCTTTTGCTCGTTCCAACCACTCAAGCAAGGCCATAACAGCATCTTTAAACTGACCAGAGTAAAGGAGAGCTTCTTCCAGCTGCCTTTGTCTAATGAAGATAAGACAAAACATCTTCAACAACATCATAATACCTTAGGCCTGGTATGAAGTCTCAAACAAAGGAACCACAAATGTTTATGTTATTTAATGCATTTATAATTAAAATATTTCTAAAAGCATTTTATAAAAAATTACTGAGGATTAATCACAACATATATGAAACAGCTCTTATTATTGAAGACATATATCTACTTATCACTTCCTATCAACAGACTTATTACACACTGCTTCAGGTAGAGTTTTAACCTACCTATCAACTGACTTGTTACACACTGCATTCCACTTATTTTTCAACTCATCCATCATTTTCTGCAGACCAGGAATGTCTGTTTTGGTGCAACGATCTTTCAAAATACGACCAATTTTCATGGTGGTGTCGTATTTAGACTGCTTAGCTCCAAGAGCTCGCTGGAATTCCTTATGTTTATTCAGTAGGTGTTTGACTTTGTCTGGGTCTTTACCAATGTGAGTAAGGCTGTTCAGTGTTACCTCAGCCTCATCCAACCAGGAAATTAACTCACTCCATGCATCATCAAACTGATTAAATACAACATATTAAATATTCAGTAATCTAGGGATAAAAGTAAACCCGATTAATTTACTACAATATGAACATGCTTTTTATTATTTAATAAAAAAGAAAGAGTGGCTATGTAATAAAAGATGCAATCATCAATAATGGTAGGATAAGCAGAAATCTCTGCTAGTCTGAAATACATCTAAAATTAACAGAATTCAGTTTATCTTCTTTCAATGTCATTATCTTGCTCCAGTTATTTGGTTATGTAGGCATTCTGTGAACAGTTATTTTTAAGAAGCTTTAAATGTCTAATGGAATAAAGTCCTTTATACATACTAGCAGGAATACCACCCTATGGGTGACTGTTTATGCTAGTAATTAGTAATCATAGTATTCATACCTCATTGAAAAAAATTTAGAAAAAGTGAACATCTTCTAAAAAAGTATTTTTTTCTGGGAAGTGCTGCATCGGAAAAATGTTCAGATTGTGCTCTTTAATCATAAACAACTCACTGCTTCAAAGTGATTCATTGTACAGAGCTTAAACTTTTCATCAGTTTTACTGATATAAACTGTAATGTTTTTATATATTAAAAGTGCTATCCTTTATTGAAAAAATTTTTTTTTAAGAACTTCAGTTTTTTTAGTACTGCATTTACAAATTACACCAATAAAGATATAATCAAACCTTCACATACAGTCCTAGTGAAAGTCGTGTCTTTGTTGTAAGGAGAGTACTTTTATTTAAAATTGTATTCTGTTATAAAGAAATGGTTGTTGCACATACCATAGTGCTAAACTTTTTTATGTATTTGGGTTTGTGGTTTCATTCAATAGATAGTGCAACATTTTATAAGCTTCAGTCACCACTTCTTGCATTGAGATCTTGTTGTATTTCAGCACAACAGATGGCACCATTGTATTTATTATTTCAGTCACATAGATAGATACATAAATTTCCACACCATTATAGTAAGAAGTGTTGAGAAAAAATGGTTAAAATAGTAATATACAAAATGGAAATAATTTAATATCTTTGATCTATTAGAAGAAACATTTGAACCTGAAAAGTTATTTATATAAGAAATTCTAACCATAATATAAAAACAAAGTAGTCTATGTCATGTAAACCATCATTGTAAAAACAGTGCTTTTTTAATATATATATTTGGTCATAAGCTAAGACTTTACTCCACAATATCAAAAGTATAATGTACTTTTAACTCATGAGAACATATATATTTCACTTAGGTAGATTAAATATAATTTTATTGCATGTGATTTGTATACCAAATTCTACAGAACTTGCCTCTTTAGCTTCCTTATATCCGTGGTCCAACATTCTGGTTCTTTCAGCAGCTTTGGAGACGACTCGCTCCCAGCGATGCTGCACACTGATAAGCAGGTTTTTGATCAAGAGAACATCTTGTTTCTGGCTGAAGTACTTCAGGTGAGTACCTTTCTTGTCCAGGTTCAACATTACCTCTCTGTGAGCCCCCAGATCTTTCTGAAAACTCTAAAACCATAAAGAACAGTATTATTTTTAGGGCAAAGCTACTTGGGTTGTTTGACATCATCTCTAATTTTGAACTATAATGAACAGAGTAAAGGCAACTAATCAACAGAACAATACCATTCACAATAAGAAAATGACTGTCACTCTTTTAATAAACCCAAAGCTTAAAGGGTGGGGAATATTTTGTGGTATTCAAACTCAGTTTGTCAGCTCTGAAATCCAGAGCACTATTACAGGGTCAACCAGTGCTCCAACAAATCTTTAAAACACTTCATTCTCTACAAATGTTAACCATGTCCAGTACATCAACATGCCTAATTCTACAAAGAAGATGAACATTTTAAAGTGACACATACATAAGTGTTTACAACTACACATTTTCAATAAGGCATGCAGCATTTTACATGTAGAAAATTGTTGAATGAATTCATTTTCTTTAATTTTCCTTTTTTCAGTGTATTATATTATCTGTTTTGAAGTAAGGATAATGCATCAATACAGGAATAAAAGATGTAAAAATGTTTTGTTTTACTTACACATGCAACAACAGTATTTTATAAAGTTGACATTTACATTTTAAGGAATAAAAAAATCTTGAATTTTTGGAATTTTGAAAAGACGATCTACTTAACATGATCTGCTACATTTTATTTGTTCAAAATATTATGAGATTTGCTTACCCTGCAAGGGTTAACAACAAACTCCAACTGAGTTTATTATTACAAACTCTTGAGAAAGTTTATAGTTTGGTAGATAGTTTTAAGTAAAGCTTATTTCAGATCCTTATTAAAACTGAAACCTACTGTGATGCATACATGTTAATATTTGATGTTATTATAAACAGCACGGTACCCAACTGGTGATTCAGTATATCTGGTTTTGTTAATTCATTAACAGGTTACTTTTTAAATTATTTAGTTCTGATCTGTTAGTGTTGATAACTTGTCATGGCCTACAATATTCTAGCAGCAAGTTCAGACCTCTGTGATTCAAGTAAAATCCTAACCTTATGATCTCTGATCTGTTCCACAACAGTTTCCATCACTCGGCTAACAGGCTTCATGGTTGTCAGGTACTTCTCAGAATTTGTTAACCAGTCTACAAACTCCTGAAGTGCCTCATGGAACTGTGTGGCTTCTCGTAAAGCTATCTCCAGCTTAATCTGTGAAGGAATTTACAAATCAGTACACAGCTGTGTAAAAGAATTCAAATATACTATGAACAGTAAAAAAAAACTTTACTACATGAAATATGTAGTCCTCTTTGTTACACAGATTAAGAATCTGTTTACAAACTTTTGAACTGTGTATCCATGTATGTTAATATATATATAAAGTTTACATTATTAAGATAAAGAGCTTATGTAAAAATAGCCTAGTTATTTTACTAAGGTTTAACATAAACCTATCAGGTTACCTTTCTGTCATTCGCTTTGTTGAGGACATTGTCCCAACGTTGCTTCAGTGTTTTAAGATTATGCTGTAGGTTCGAAGTTGCCTCTTCATTAGATCTTTTTAGGTAATCTTGTCCTTGCTGCAAGACTGTTTCCACTTTGTGACGGTTTGAGTCCAGTTCATTGTACAACTCCTATGGTAAAAAACAAAATTCAAGCACGAGAATGTTTACATGTAGTATGAAAATAACACAAAAAGCAACTATGATGAGAATAATCAAATCATAACACAAGTATGTTAAAAATCACTTTTAAGACACATATTTACAATGAATACCATTTAGTAGAAACATTATAGTTCCTTGAAATGAATAGTATTATCAATCAACCTTGTGTATAAAACATGTTCACACAATAAGATATTCATATAGGAGAATTTAATGGTGTGATGAATTGTGATAAGATTTTAAAAAATTACCTCCAAACTACCACTGATGGATAATATTTTCTTACACTATGTTAAATGAAATACATTAAGAAAATGAAATAACTAGGTGTAATCAGGTATATGAAGATAAACTAGCCCATTAATTTTGGGAAGATACATTATTACACCAATTAAGATTACTGAGAAGTGTACATTTTGTTATACACCCTAAGTACAAACATTTACTCAAGGGATTCATATAGATAATTGCAAAATATATGCATTAAATTTTATATATGTATCTAACAAGAGATACAGACAGTTAGTAAAAGGTTTACCTATCACGAAGTAGGTCAGTTGTTCTGTAGCTGTATCTAACAAGAGATACATACAGCTAGTAAAAGGTTTACCTATCACAAAGTAGGTCAGTTGCTCTGTAGCTGTATCTAACAAGAGATACATACATCTAGTAAAAGGTTTACCTATCACGAAGTAGGTCAGTTGCTCTGTAGCTGTATCTAACAAGAGATACAGACAGTTAGTAAAAGGTTTACCTATCACGAAGTGGGTCAGTTGCTCTGTAGCTGTATCTTATAAGAAGAGATACAGACACTTAGTAAGAGATTTACCTACCATGAAACGATTCAGTTGCTCTCTAGCAGTTTCTGGCAAACCACCAACTGGTTTTGAAGTAGCTAACTGGCTGTCTACATCACTGAGCCAAAGCAGAAGGTCCTGAATCTCCTGGTTAAAGATGACAGCCTATTGAAAGAAACAAAAATATAATTATGGTAAATTTATAACCAATTGTAAACCACAGTTACTGTACATTCATGACTAATTATAAACCACAGTTACTGTACATTCATGACTAATTATAAACCACAGTTACTGTACATTCATGACTAATTATAAACCACAGTTACTGTACATTCATGACTAATTATAAACCACAGTTACTGTACATTCATGACTAATTATAAACCACAGTTACTGTACATTCATGACTAATTACAAACCACAGTTACTGTACATTCATGACTGATTACAAATCATATTTACAGCACACCCATAACCAGTTTCAAAGCACTAACTTCAGATCTATAAGCAATCATAAAATAGTTAGTATATCCCCAAAACCAGCTCCAAAAGTAGTTAATACACATACATACAAAATAATTAGTACACACTCAGAACCAGTTTCAAAATATTTACTGAATAAAAGCTAATTATACAACATGGTTTCCACACATCAACAATCAGTTACAAAACACTTACTTTATCCCCCTAAACATCCAAAAATTGATACTATAAGCCCACAACTAATCATAAAATAGTTAATATACAGTCACACCAATTATAAAAACAATTACTGAACCTTTTAAATGATGAACGTTCACAAAAATAAATTAATTCAAATAAAGTTAACATTGACATTATATCCAACAAATCTGCATAATTTTGTTGGATAGAGAAAGATGTACAAAATAACCTTCAAGACTAAGAAAAAGTCTTCAATTAATTTTTTCACAGATCTACCTCTTTTAGTGCAGCTTCAAGCTCTTTCTGTCGTTCAATAGCTTTGTCTTGCAATTGCTGCCACCTAGTGTTCAAATTCATCACCTTCTTTTGAGTGAGACTTGCATCTTCACTGCTTTGGTCTGTATCAACTAGTTGATGGCATACACGATTAATTGTGTCTATACTGCTCTGGTGGGCTTGAATGTCATTAACTAGGACCTGCAAGAGTTTTAAAAAGTGACTATTTTTTCTTTATTTGGGTATTTTATTATAAGAGAATGTAATATTTCATCATGAAAGTTATAGGATGTTTTATTTATATACCATGTACAGGGTCATGGAGAAAAAAGAACCACAAAGATATAATATAATTAGATAAAACTGTACACTACCCAAATATTTTGCTAACTATTACTACTAGAGAGACAAAGAGAGTCTTACAACAACTCACCACTTTCATGTAAAAGGTTTAGAGACTTAAAATCATAAATAATATTCAACGTTAAACTGGTACACAATAAAAACATTTTATTTAGGCCTATCTATGGCCTTCAAAAAGTTGACGACTTTACATGTTTCGACGTTACACGCGTCTCATGTAGAGTCGTCAACTTTTTGAAGGCCATAGATAGGCCTAAATAAAATGTTTTTATTGTGTACCAGTTTAACATTGAATATTATTTATGATTTTAACTTTATACCCAAGTGCCAAAATACTATAATTAAGTCTAAAGACTTGTTT